TGATAGGATTCATGCTAAGGGCAGGCCTGGGTGACCAGACTACTTAGGAGGGATAGGAAATTGATGATATCAGGAGACTACTAAAGCATGGTACACTGTTCCATTGAGAATGTTGGGATCATTCCAGCCAGGGTTTGAAAGAGACCCGACCACAGCTGCCCACTTTCAAATGACTTTGTCCTGTTTTGACACATAGAGAGGGGAGGAGACTCACTGAGTAAAGTATACAAATATTTATGGGACGTTGCTTGCCCAGAACCCTCCTAGATGGTATATAAGCTCAGATGAGAATAGGTGAGATGAAGATTGCTCTCTGGTCTCCTGCAAGGCAAGCAGAACGGTTTTCTTCTGCCAAGCAGAGAAGATAAATGCAGTGAACAGGAAGTAGGTATAGTATCCTTCCAGGAACCGGAAATGGCCTTGGGAGGCTTAGGCAGCTGTGTATAAGCTTTCCAGATGAATTGTTTAAAAACGACTTAGGGTGTAGCTTTCTTTCTTCGTTTGTTCCTTCATTTGCAATTCTCCTGTGCCTTTTGGAAAGCGTTATGAGAAAAGAACAAATCAAAGTGGGCAGACTCTGTTTGAGCTCACGCAGAGTCAGCAAAACGATGGTAAGAGAAACATTTGGGAGCCAGAATGTATGGGGTAGAGCTCGCACGCTTGCCCTCACGTCACCTGGAGCAGCCCAAGCTCACCGGCCAAGGCCATAGCACGAAGCCCCTGATGGATTCTAGAGAGCTGCTCTGCGGAGTTTGCTGATTCTATGGTGCCAAAGGAGAATTAACCATCGGCACAGGCTCCAGAGACACGCCAGGGCTCTTAGTGCTTTATCTCAGAAAGGAATCATGGAGGGAAATCTTGGCCTAATTTCCTGGACCATAACAAATACTTATTGAATAAATGCATAGGTCAGTGGTACCTTCCCAGGAATTGCTATTAAACCAAGAAGCCGATGTAGCGGATCTGAGTGGAGAGCGTGAACTGGAAACCGGTCAAGACCAGTCTGGTCTGGTCTGGACGGGTCCAGACTGGTCTGGTCTGGTCTGGACTGGTTAAGGCTAGTCTAGTCTGGCCTGGACCAGTTGAGACCAGTCTGGTCTGATCAAGATCAGTCTGGTCTTGTCTAGACCAGTCAGGACCGGTCTGATCTGGTCGAGACTGGTCCAGAACGGTCTGGTCTGGTTTAGACCTGTCTGAACGGGTCTGGTCTGGTTGAGACCAGTCTGGTCCTATCTGGACTGGTCAAGACCAGTCATGACCGGTGTGGTCTAGTTAATACCGGTCTGTGCCACTCGAGACCGATCTGGTCCAGTCTGGTCTGGTTGAGACAGGTCTAGTCTGGTTGAGACTGGTCTGGACCAGTCTTGACCAGTCTGGTCCAGTCCATACAGGACTCGACTGGACCAGACTTTTCATGCTGCCATGTCTAATACCTGATGAAAACTAACTTAAGGAGGAAGACAGAATTATGGTTCATGGTTTTGCTGTTTTAAAATATTTATTATTTTTATTTTATATCTGTGAACCAGAGAGTATATATGGTCACCATAGAGGCCAGAAGAGGTTGGCAGATCCTGAGCCCCCAGGAATGGATGCTGAGATTTCAACCCCAGTTCTCTACAAGTGCAATGAGTGCTCCCTCTTTTTCTTTTTTCTTTCTTTCTTTCTTTCTTTCTTTCTTTCTTTCTTTCTTTCTGTTTTTGTTTTGTTTTGTTTTGTTTTGTTTTTCAACACAAGGAACTCACTCTGTAGACCAGGCTGGCATCAAACTCACAGAGATCCACCTGTAAGGTGTGCGTCACCACTACCCAGGGCAACAAGTGCTCCTAATGACTGGCTCACCATTTGAGGGTTCAGTTCCTGGAGGCCAAATTAGCATGGTGTTGGGATTATGAAACATTGCATCAGCAGTCAGGAAGAAAACAGGAAGTGGGGCCTAGCTGTGAGACATCACGGCTCACTCTCAGCAACCATCTTCATCCAGCCAGGCTCCACTCCCTGACATTTCCATTACTTCTAGAACAGCACCCGCCATGGGTGGACCAAGTGCTGAAGCACATGAGACTGTGGGGCAAAGTTCATACTCAAATCACAGCATATCAAAATCAGTTCGTTTATAGGATATTAAAATTTAACCTTGCCTTTCTTTCCTGAAGTTTGCTTTTCTTTATTGCTGTTGGCAATTCTGCTCACATGGGAAAGATGCAGTCACCCAACTTTTGAACTCCAATCCAATTGCTATGCCAATGGAGAAGCAGAAAGCTACCTACTCAATACAATGAGCAAGTCAAAATTCTGGCTGTGTTCAAGGGGCCATTAGAGACTTGTGACATCATCCAAACATCCTAGGGGGAGCATTCCGGAAATAGAATATTTTAGAAAAAGTTTAACCTACTCCTGCACTAAGGTCCTCAAGACCACCAGGGTAGAAATGTCTGCCAAAGGATTGAGTAAATGAAGTCACGTCCGGGTCAGAGGGTAAAGGTGCTTCGTCTCTGAAGGAAGACACGACCTAAGGCAGCCTTGAACTCCTTGTTCCGCAGGCTGTAGATGAGAGGATTGAGCATGGGAGTCACCATGGTGTATGACAGAGACACCACTTGCTTGCTCTCAGGAGAGTAGCTGGCCTTGGGGCGCAAGTGGATGACCCCCGTTGTGCCATAAAAAAGAATTACCACGATGAGGTGGGAGGCACAGGTGGACAGGGCCTTGTGGCGCCCAGAGGCTGATGGCATCCGAAGGACAGAAGCCAGAATCCTGGTATAGGACATGACTATGAGACAGACCGGAACTATCATAATTAGCACTGTGGCCACAAAGACACTGGCCTCGAAGACTCTGGTGTCTGCACACACCAGGCTCAGCAGAGGTGGAATGTCACAAAAGTAGTGCCGGATGCCCCGTGGCCCACAGAAGGGAAAGTTAAAGAGCCAGATGGTGAAGACCAGCGACACAGGGACTCCTGAGAGCCAACAGGTAGTGGCCAGCAGGTGGCACAGCCTCAAGCTCATGATGGCACCATAGCGCAGTGGCCTGCAAATGGCCAGGAAGCGGTCCCAGGCCATGACCGTGAGAAGCAAGCACTCGGATGTGACACAGGACAGCACAAGAAACAGCTGCAGGGCACAGCTTGTCGGGGACAGCCCACGTCCAGGCCACAGTAGGGTCACCAGCAGACGGGGCGCCACGTCCAGTGAGAAGCAGATCTCCACCAGGGCCAGCTGCCTTAGGAAGAAGTACATGGGCGCACGCAGGCCTGGATCCAGGCTGGTGAGCAAGACAATGAGTGTGTTGCCTAACAACGTGAGCAGGAAGGCGGTCAGGAAGAGCACTGAGAGCATTGGGCGCAGGGAGGGCACATGTGCGAAGCCTAGCAACACGAACTCCAGCTCACGTGTGCGGCTCTGATTGGTCCAGGGAGGAGCTGCCCAGGAAAGTGGCATGTACCCAGGATTCGAGAGCCCTGAGCTAAGGACCAGGGAGGGACCCTATGGAGTACCAGAAAATGAAGTGAGAATTGCAACCTGTGAATTTCATCCTTCACATTCCCAAGGGAGAGCTTATCCATCAGTAAATCAAGTCCCACACCTCACCACGGACAGAGTCCTTCTTAAAATCCCCAGGGAGTGTGGGAAGAACAAAACGACATCATCCGCTGACCTAGTCTGTCTGCCTTGCGGTCCTCTCTCTTCGGACTCCTCTTTCCCTGGTTAATTGTACCATAGTTTTGTTTTTAACAAAGGCCTTTGTGAGGTTTTGTTTGTTTTGTTTTGGAAAAAGCGTCTAAGTAGCCCTGGCTGTCTTGAACTCATTATATAGACCAGGCTGTCCTGGAACTCAGAGATCCTCCTGCCTCTAGCATGCACCACCACACTTGTGAGATGGTTCTTGACCGGCTCTCCATCCTCATTTCCTTCTGAACTTTTAGCTCACTAGGCTTGGTTTCCAGAACCTTTTCAGCTATGGTCCATGATATTTCCTTCTCACTTCACGACCTTAGCCTTACTGTGTCACGAAACCAAAATAGAAAAAAACGATGTAAACGTGGGAAATGGATTTGTAGGAGAGTGGATATTAGGGGTGGGATGGAACTAGGAAAGACTGAGGGGCAGTAATCAGAATTATACATATTCACACATATCACATATATGATATATATTTCATATATATAAAATTTCCAAAGAACAAGTTAAATTTGGAATAAAAAAAATTATCAAAAAAAAAGAAAGAAAGAAATTTGGTAGGGTTATATATTTTGGAGGGATTTGGGGAGGGTTGTTTGTTCGGTTGATTTTTGTTTTAATTTTTTGTTTTTTGTTTTGTTTTGTTTTGTTTTTCAAGACAGCTGTCCTGGAACCCACAGTGTAGACCAGACTGACCTCAAACCCATGGAGATACACCTGTCTCTACTTACCAAGAACAGGGATTAAACGCATACATCACCACCACCTGGTAGAAATCTTAAAGAATTAAGATTTTCAAGACAACATCAGACCAAAAGTAAAAAATAAAAACATGACCAGGAATTAAAACAAGGACTTTGCTTAAACTCCCTGGTCTCCTGGGATGAAGCGTCCCTTCACTAATGCAGACTGGGTCTATTCAACCGTCAATAGAATGAAGTCTGGAAAACTCTGAACGCAACTGATTTTAGGATCCATGAGAAGAAAAACACCAGCAGGAGGGAAAGGCTAATCCAGTAAACCAAAATCAGCAGAAAGTAGAGGGTCTGGTTAATAACGGGTGTCTTAGAGTGATGGAAAAATCCCTGCCACATCTAAGCCTCCGTTCTTACCTCTGAAGTTGTGGTGACAGAATTTCACTTGGAGGACTGCATGACAGTCCTACTGTTGGGGGTGCCGTGTTTAAGAATCCAGCACAACCGTGGCGATCTTTAAAGGAGGTCAAAAGGCTGGGGAGATAACCCTGGGTAAAGTACTTGCTGCACAAGCAGGAGGCCCTGAGTTCCAACTCCCAACCAGACATGGCAGCAGGTGCTTGTAACCTCAGCACTGGAGGGCAGGGCAGAGACAGGAGGACCATCAGCCAGCTAGTCTAGCTGAACTGGAGAGCTCCAAGTTCAGTGAGAGACCCTGTGTTGGGAAGCAAGGGAGATGATACAGGAAGATACCTGAAAATGGCCCCTACCCTCCACATGTGCATACCTGTGTGTACACAGACAGACAGAGACAGGCAAAGACTTCGACAGAGAGACAGAGTGGAACAGAAAGACAGAGACAGCTGCACCTATTGGCCTTGGTAGCACACGCTGATATTCTAGCACTAGGGAGATGGAGACAGGAATATCAGGGATTTGGGGCCTAAATATCAAGTTCAAGGCCAGCCTGGACTATGTGGGAACAAATCTCCAAACATAAAATATGGAATGGGATGAGATGGGAGAGGAGGGGAGGAGAAGGGGGAGCAGGGAAAGGGGAGGAGGAGAGCAGAGGAGAGGAGAGGCCTCACAGTACAATGACATGGAAGATACTCAGGAAATATTGCATCCAAAGCATAAGTTGTAGAATAAGAAGAACAGGGTGGAGCCTTAGTTTGGTTTCTGTGGCTGTGCTGAAATTCCATGACCAAAGCATCTTTGGAAGTAAAGGGTCTGTTTGGCTTCCGTATCTATACTGTAGCCCATCACTGAAGAAAGTCAGGTCAGGATCCTGGAGGCAGGAGCTGATTCAGAGGCCACAGAGGAGTGTTGCTTGCTAGCTTGCTATTCATGGCTTTCTCAGCCTGCTTTCTTGTACACCCAGAACCACTGGCCCAGGGATGGCACCACCCACAATGGGCTTGGCCCTCACCCATCCATCACTGATTAAGAAAATGTCTTACAGAGGCATTTTCTTCACTGAGGCTCCCTCCTCTCGCATGACATTAGCCTGTGTCAGGTTGACAGGAAACTGTCCAGCGCAGAAGGTGTGACGCACACACCACAGCTCCCTTGTCTTTCCTAGGCCCACATGTACAGGGAGAAATGTACCATAAACGTAGGAAAGGACAGACCCTGAAACAGTGACGGAGATTCCTCTAAGACGAGGATCCTAGCTGGAAGTAATGATCGGGATTTTAGATTTGGTCTCTTTAGATTGCGGACTGAAAGATGTCTCAGTGGGCGAAGGTTCTTGCTGCCAGGCCTGACAATTTGAGTTTGATCTCTGGAATCCGCATGGTGGAAGGGGAGAACCTACGAGTTGTCCTCTGACTGCCATACGGCACTGTGATACCACACCACACACATACACAACATACACACACACACACACACACACACACACACACACACATGCACACACACTCCAAACTCACCTCAAACACATACACATATAAATAAATGTTATTTTGAAATCTAAATTTCATTAAAAGTAAGCAAATAACGCTTAAGAACAGTAGTTGCCCAACACAATGAACCCAGTGGCATCTTGGGGCTCATTATCTCATGGTTTTTGGTCAGGGCTTTATTTATTCTCTCATTTATTTTTAACTTACGTGTCTTTTGTTGGATATATTACAACTTTCAGTTTTGTGTATTTATGGGATTCCTGTGTGTAGGAACATTTGTGTCTCTGTGTCTACGTGAGTTCTTTGTGCTTTTTCTTTGACTTTTCTTATGCTTGTTTTATCCTATTCCAGTTTGCTTGTTTTTGTTTTATCTTATTTTATTTTATGATTATTCTTTAATGCCTGTTTGTTTTCTAAAGAGAGACAAAAGGGTGTGGGTTAGGATCTGGGAGGAGTTGGGGTCAGGGATTGTATTTAAAAAATAGCTATTTTCAATAAAAGAAAAATAGAAAAAAAAAGAATTAGGGCAAAGACAAAAAGTACCAAAGCTCATTCTAGCCACACTTTCTATGGACTGGGCATAGAGTCCTGGAGGTCTTAAGCCCTGGGCCATCCCAGGCTAAGGATGCAGGTATGGGATGGATTTTAATAATTGTGGGGTATTTTGCTTTGTCGTTTTGTTTTTGTTTTTGTCAAATGGAATCTTTCAACTAGAATCAGGTCTATAATCTCTCACTCCTTAAATACTCCATCACCCAAAGAGGAAAAACAGGAAAAAAAAATGTTTTGAGATCTTTCTGTATCTCTAAGTGGAGTCTTCCAGGATTAGTTTTCTAGTCCACTAATCAGCCAGAAAACACATTTAGCAGCTCCTCGGCAGCATTCCTTTAGTGAACTAAGCTTTAAAATGTGATCATGGCGTCGTCCAAGGGTTAGATGTTCCTGACATCCCTCCGAACCTCGCCCCACCCTGTGTTAAGGATGAGCAAACAAAGAACACAACATCCCCTTTTGGTTTTCCTGAAGACCAGGTCTCACTGTGTCGCTAGGTCTGGAACTCACAGCACAGCTCAGACTAGGCTCTGGCTTGTGGAGATCCACAGACTCAGGCTCTCGAGGTCTGGGATTCCATGCCTAAGTCACCAGCACTTTTCAGGACCCAGCGCTTCCTGCCACGCAGCTCCAGCAGCACCCAGGATGCCCACATCTGCATGGGGAAAACATCTGTGCCTTGACAGCTAATTCTAAGCAAAGACTCAGCGCTTCCTGCGGGAAGCTGGAACGATAATGAGAGCTGGGGGTACAATCAAATCTTGGGCAATGCACAACCCAAAGCAAGCACGGGCTTCAGTGAGTAATCTCCTTGATGGGTGCTCCTCCACCACCTGTGAAGGGACGTTCATAATCTACCTGGGCTGGGGGCAAGAGAGAAGAGAAAAGCTTTTCACTGAGTAAGTGCCCCCAAGCGTTTCCAAGGGCAGCATAGAAACCTGAATCCAAACTACCACTTAGTAGCTGTGAGAATGGCTTGACTTCTCTGTCCCTTACCTGTAAACTTATGATAATAATCATTTCTACTCCTAAAATGTCAGTGAGATTAACTGAGGCTGTGTACGAGTCTTGAGATTCAATATCTCCCATGGCAGACAGCAACCATCGTCACCTCCACTACCACCAGCACTATGAGCATATTCCTCCATCACAATCAACATCACCCCGTCATCGCTACCAACAGTCTTCATCACCATCAGTTAAGGCCTCAGGATCACCACCATAGTCGTCACCATCAGCATGGTCATCTGTACCGTTTTATCACCTCCACCATCATCATCACTACCACCACAACCACCATATCATTACAATCTTCCTCATCACTGTCATCATCATCTCATCACTAGGTTATTATAATCTAGATCATCATCTCATCATGTCATGACCCTGTCATGATCACCCTGATCGTCAGCATCACCGTGACACTATAATCTCTCTTTCACCATCTTCACTATCGCCATCATCCCACCACCACAACCACCAGCATCAGCAAAAGCAGCATCACCATACCGATATAATCTTAATCTTCATCATCATGATTAACACCAGCAGCATCACCAAACACCTCCAGCAGCATCACCATCAAAGAAAGAAAAGAAACAGT